ACAGAGCCCCCACGGCACCCACAGAGCCCCCACGGCACCCACAGAGCCCCCAGCCCCACAGACCCCCCCCCAGCACCGCTGGGGACACGGCACCCGGGGAGCCCCACAGGGCACCCACAGAGCCCCCATGGCACCCACACCCAGGGCACCCCCTGCCCGATGGGACCCCATGGCACCCCTTGCCCCAGAGCAGCACATCCTGTCCCACAGAACCCCCCAGGAAACCACTGCACCTCATGGCACGCCCTTCCCCACAGAACTCCCCCCCCAACACCCAATGGGCCCCACAGCAGCACCCCTGCCCCATGGAATCCCCTCCCATGGCACACCACACCACCACCCCCTGCCACATGGAATCGCTTCCCATGGCACCCCACACCACCACCCTTGGCCCACAGTGGCACCCCACTGCCCCACGGGACCCCGTTGCTCAATGGGCACCCCCTGCCCCACAGCACCTCTCACCCACAGCACCCCAACCCTATGGCACCCCCGGCCCCACAGCAGCAACTCCAACCCCACGGGACCCCCCAGACACTCAGTGGGTACCCATTGTCCCATGGGACCCCCCTACCCATGGCAGCACCTCCTGCCCCACAGAACCCCCCCGGTGCCCCATCGCCCCCCGGGGTCACACCTGGTGCACGATCACGGCCGTGACGGTCCCGTCGTCCCCCTCGTACTCGAGGCAGAAGAGCCGCGGCCCCCGGGAGGGGTCAGGGGGGGCCCCGCGGGGGTCGCCGGGGGGGGGCCCCGCGCTGGCATCGCCCCCGGGACCCCCTGTGGCACCTGCACCCTCAGCGGGGGCTGTGAGACCCCCGGGGAGCCCCAACCCAGCACCCCCTCAGTACCGCCCCATCCACACCTGGGGTCCCCCCGACCCCCTCCGCCCCCCAGGGGTGCCCCCCCATTCCCCACCCATATCCTGGACGCTCCCTCTTGTCCCTTGGATGCCCCCACCCCTGTCACCAACATGGGCGCCCCCCCCCCCCCCCCCCCCCCCGGGGCCCCCCCCCCCCCCCCCCCCCCCCCACCCAGGGTTGCCCCCCCCCCACTGTCACCCCCTTGGATGTCCCCCCCCAGCACCCAAGGGTGCCACACCCTCCCTACCCATCTCCTAGGGTCCCACCCGTTGTCCCCCCACCTTGGTGACCCCCAACCCCCCCAGGGGTGCCCTCCGTGTCCCCCGACCCTTGAGAGCCGCCCCCGTCCCCCCTCAGCCGCCCCGCCGCAGCCCCCGTGCCCCGCTCACCGCAGCCCCGGGGCCGGTACACCTGCTGGTCGGGCCGGCGGGGCCGAGGCGGGTTCGGGGTGAGCCGGGTGCGCGCCCGGCCCCGCGCCTGCCGCACGGCGCGGTCGTACGCGTCCCTGCGCACCGGGAACCGGTTACCGGGGGGGGGCGCGGCGGGAGCGGGGGGCGCGCGAAGCCGCCGGCGATGTTACCTGGCGAGCTGGTTGCGGCGGATGTGCCGCACGAAGCCGTGGCTCATGTCGAGCCGCCCGCCCGGCCGGCAGCGCCAGCCTGGGGCCGGGGCCGCCGCCTCCATCCCGGTTAGCGGGGAGGTCGGTCCCGGGGACGCGGCGCCTTTAAGAGCCCCGCGGGCCCGGAGGCCGCGCGTGCGCAGAGCCCTCAGCGGCGAGCGCTGACCCCGCCCCTTCAGCCGAGCGTGCGCACGGCGCGGCCCCCGCGCCCCCCGCGCAGGCGCAGTGCGCGCGCGCCGCCACCATGTCGAGCCGCGGGCGGCGGGAGCGGGAGCGGGACCCGCGCGGGGCCGCCCGGGGCCGCCGCGAGCCCGAAGCGGAGCGGCCGCGGGGCCGACGGGACTCCGAGCGCGACCGCGCGCGGAGGGAGGTGGCGGAGGCGCTGCCGGTGGATCTCGCTCGGGTCAAGCGGGAACCGGGCACCGGGGGCGGCTCCGGGGCGGGATCTGGGACCGCCGCCCCCGCCGCGCCCGTGCGGGTGAAGCGAGAGCGGGAGCCCGATGGAGACTCCGACCCTGAGCCTGAGCCCGCCGGTGGGAACCGGGGTTGGAAAGCGGGGATGAAGCGGGGGGACAGGGGGGAATGGGGGCCTGAGGGGACCGAGGGGACACACTGGGGTGTAGGGGGGGCACAGGGTGGCGAGGACTGGGAGGGGGCTGAGAGGACAGGGGTTGTCCCGGGGGACACCGGAGGATGAGGGGGGAGGGTGTGAGGGGACACCGGGGTGGGGGGACGGGACTGGAGGGGTGGGGGGCACCGGGGGGTGCGGACAGAGCCAGAGGTGTGTGTGGGGTGACACCGCTGTGGGGTCTGGGGGGACACTGGAGAGGCATCAGGCGGGGGTAGGTGGGGGCTGTGGGGTGTGAGGGGACACTGAGGGGTCTGGGGGGACACTGGAGAGGCATCAGGCGGGGGTAGGTGGGGGCTGTGGGGTGTGAGGGGACACTGAGGGATCTGGGGGGCACTGGGGAGGGTGTGTGGGGGTCACAGTGATGTCCCGGAGGACACTGGGGTTGGGGGGGGCAGGACGGTGTGTGTGGGGTGAACTGGGGTGTCTGGGAGGGGGCACTGGGGGGTGGAGACGCAGAGGTGTGTTGGGGGACACACTGGGGTGTAGGAGGGGCAGTGGGGGGTGGGAGGGGCGGGGAATGGAGTGATTGGGGGGACACTGGGATGGGGACACACACCAGGCATTCCCAGGGGGGCACAGGGACTGACTCTGGGGGTGCTGAGCTCAGCTCTGGGCAGTGGTTGGAGGCACTGGGGGGAGCTGGGGCTCAGTCCCAGGGGTCTGTAAGGAGGGGAGCATCGCCCTGGTGCTGTCAGGGCCCTGTGCCCCCCTCTAACACCTCCCCCACCCCCAGTGCGCTACGGCCGCTTCGACCCCGAGGACCAGCGGAGCCGCCACTGCCCCTACCTGGACACCATCAACAAGTGGGTAATGGGGCCTGGGGGGCTCCCCCTGCCCCTCCTGGGGGTACCCCTGTGCCTGGGGGTTCCCTCAGCCCCCCTCAGCCCTGTGACCCTCCCCAGGAGTGTCCTGGACTTTGACTTTGAGAAGCTCTGCTCCATCTCCCTGTCCCACATCAACGTCTATGCCTGCCTGGTCTGCGGGAAGTACTTCCAGGGTGAGACCTGCCCCAGAACTGGGGGGGACATGGGGGACACGTGGGGGACATGGGGACAGCAGGGACACCCGGGGGCTGTGTGGGGGACATTGGGGACATCAGGCTGCTGTGGGGGACAGGGACACTTAGGAGCGAGGGGGAATGGGGGACATCCAGGTGCTGGGGGGGACAGGGACACACAGGGATGGAGGTGCTGCTAGGGGTGGGACGTGGGGGACACCCAGGGCTGGGGTGCTGCAGGGGGCACAGGGACCCTTGGTGAGGGCACAGCCCCCCCATACATAGGTGAGGGATTCTTTCTGTCCTGCCTGTTCTGTCCCATGGCTTCTGTGTACCTCTCTGGTGACCCGAGTGTCCCCTCCTTGCCCCCCTGTTCCTGCGGTGACACCCCTGAGCCTGTGGTGTCCCCCCCTTTGTCCCTCTCTGAGCCTGTGGTGTCCCCCCCGAGCCCGTGGTGTCCCCCTGTCCCCCCCCGAGCCCGTGGTGTCCCCCTGTCCCCCCCTGAGCCCATGGTGTCCCCCTGTCCCCCTCTGAGCCCGTGGTGTCTGCTCCTGAGCCCGTGGTGTCCCCTGTCCCCGCAGGCCGCGGGCTGAAGTCCCACGCCTACATCCACAGCGTGCAGCTGAGCCACCACGTGTTCCTCAACCTGCACACGCTCAAGTTCTACTGCCTGCCTGACAACTACGAGATCATTGACTCCTCCCTCGAGGACATCACGGTGCGGGGGCACCGGGGGCACCCACTGCTGAGGGCACCCACTGCTGGGGAGGCAGTGTTGGGGTGCCTCAGCTGTGAGGGGGGTCAGGTTTGGGGTACCCTGGCTCTGAGGAGTAAGGTTTGGGTGTACTGCTGTTCTGTGGGGGGTCAGTTTGGGGTACCCCTGTTCTGAGGGGAATCAGGTTTGGGTTTTCTCTGTTTTGAGAAATCAGGTTTGGGGTTGCCCTTGTTCTGAGGGGCCAGATTTGGGCACCTCCATTCTGAGGGGGATCAGTTTGAGTCCCCCGCATTCTGAGGGGGTCAGGCTTGGGGTCCCCCCTCATGCTGAGGGGTCAGGTGTGGGTTCCCCCTATCCTGAGGTGTCAGCTGTGGATCCCCCCCTGTTCTGAGGGGTCAGGTTTGGGTTCTCCCCGTTCTGAGGGGTCAGGTTTGGGTTCCCCCCATTCTGAGGGGTCAGGTTTGGGTTCCCCCCATTCTGAGGGGTCAGGTTTGGGTTCTCCCCATTCTGAGGGGTCAGGTTTGGGTTCTCCCCATTCTGAGGGGTCAGGTTTGGGTTCTCCCCATTCTGAGGGGTCAGGTTTGGGTTCCCCCCATTCTGAGGGGTGCCTCTC